AAGGTGAAGCAGTTTTATTTTCTATATTCACTATTTTTAATCTTTTAATGGATTCCAACACCAAGAGACAAATGTGAACTCTAAGACACACTAACATTTGAAAAATAGTACTCTTAGAGTTATTTCTATCTGAAAATACTTTCAGAAGTCTGTACTCAATAGCTTTAGGAAGTAAAATTTGGATTCAGTCCTTAGTATTAGCTATTTTCAATCTTTCAAACTGCACCTAGAAAACTCATGGGTTTTATATTTTGAGTGAAATTAAAAAACAAAACCCAAAAAGAAACAACTGCAATACACAGTCATTGCAGAAAAAGCAAGAGAGTAGAAGGACAAATTAAACACCTGCAGTTATACTGTGTAGTTACAACTACAAACACTAAGTATACTATATCACAGCCCTGATGACTCACACTCAGACCCAACTTTTTACCTATGTATTTTATTTAAATTTGTAAATAGTAGTTTTTCAATAAAATCTTTCAACAAACAAAATAACATGTTTACTATATAAACTTTAGGAATACATGCAGAATATTTTTTAAAGGGGCTAAGGATGTAGCTTAGTTGGCACAGTGCCTTTCTAGCATGCACAAAGTCCTGGGGTTCAATTCCTAGCACTACACAGTGAATTCAAGGTCAGCTTAGGGTACTCAAGATTCCATGAAAAGGAAACGAAAGAGGGCGGTGGATAAATTTAGCACCTTTCTACTTAGCAATAACCACAATTAATTTTTTTAAAAAAATTTCTCTTGCTTCAAAGTATATATACCCAATATCTCTAAGCATGAATAATTCTAGAACATTTACAGGGCTCAGGTAGAAGATGATACAGCAAAAGGTTTGGATAGATAATATTACCTACCACTGAGATTTATTAGTCTTTCCCAGCTAAAGCAAAACAAACAAAGCTCAGGTAATTTAATAAGAATGTTAAAGATGTGTAATATTATACAAGGTTGTGGTCACTAAAAATGATTATTTGTTTTGAGTAATTCTAATTTTAAGAAAATAGTCTAAAAGTGATCTGAAAGCTAAAATACAAATATAAATTAGAATAAAACTTAAAATTGTTTTTCTCGGGTATATGGCCATAGTACTGGAATTTACAACCATATTGATAGGCTACAAAGTAAAAACACACTGTACTCTACCAAAGCATTTTTATTATAAGAGATCTACAATATTCTAACATTTTCAAGTGGGACAGAAACTTTAGGTAAAGTTTACAGTACTGAAAATAATACCTTTTATTGGTGCCATAATATACTCTTTCTAGCCTTCTATCAAGCTGCCCAGCTTTCAATATATGGTATATACACTTTAATCACAATCTTTTATAAATCTTTTTCTCTCCCAAAAGACTGCTAAAGACCAACAATTCTCATATAAAGTTCTGCCTTGGTACCCTTGTCCAACACTGTATTTTCCTGTCTCCAGATCTGTGTGTTTCTCTTCACCTGTCAACCTGAAGGAGTAAGATAATGTTTACCAATATATCTAGAGGATTTTATGCACTATCTAGTACAGAACTGCTCAAATACATATTCAATGATATCAATTTCATCTATTTCAAAACTACAATGTCTTGAATAAGACATAAGATATTTTAAACTTCACTCATGCCCCACACCAGTAGTTTATACCACGTCTATATACCTTTAATACTCTAGAATACAGCTCATCACAGTATTCCCAAAATATGTTCCCGTGGAACACATAAGAGTACTTTATAAGCTAAGCCAAGATTTCCAGTCAATTCCATCAATAAATTCAGAAATACTTATACTATCAACTAATCTAGCTTATCGTTCACTGTCACTGTATGGATGATGAAACAGAGATTTGTTATAACTTGTTCATAGTACCATTACCACCAGGCTGCTCACTAATGATAATGTGGCATCCTCTTTACCTAATACCTCATCAACTGCTCAACAGTGTATGTAGCAGGTCAAAATAAAATAAAAATATTTTTACATGTCTTTATGGAAGAGGCTGTGTATGCCACAAGAGAGAGGACAACTTTCAGGAGTCAGTTCTCTCCCTCTACTCTATCATAGGAGTCCAGAGATCGAATCAGGACTCAGGCTTGGCAGCAAATACCTTTTCTCACTGAGTATTCTTGCCAGCTCCTTATATGTAACAACTTTAAAGTAATTTTTACCATTTGAAAATAATAACCCAGTGTCTAAGAAATACATATCAGAAGATAAAACTTAGATAATATGTGATACTGGTTTAATTACTAACATACCACATACAACTTTATGATACTCATAAAATCACCTATTTTCTGAAAATTATAATCACATAAAAAGTCTGTAGAATACTGTTCTTGAACATCTATACAACTTGTATTCCTAGAAGCTGTAGCTTTTACTTAGTTCTGCCCACTCCAAGTGCTTGCTTAGTTATGATTCAGATTTTAAGCTAATATAAAAAAAAAAATTTAGTATCCACAAATATAGTCTAGCACTTAGAAAATGTTTGCATAAATCAAATACTGGCACGAAACCACGAGGGACTCAAAACTATCTATTTGAGACCATCACATTACTTTTGCTACTAAAATGCATGAATTTTTATTTCTTTAATAAATCAGAGACATCTATTTTTTATTAACTTTACAACATTACAAGTTTAAATTCTAAGTGTAGACCAAATGGGGATACTTCTGGGCATAAGCTGTTGAGAATAATAATATTTATACATTTTTATGCAAAAGATTAAAGAATAACCTGTCATTTTGTAGGACAAAGATTTGTTATACATACAGTAAATTTGAATATATCTATCGTTTAGCTGTATCTACATGCTACCTTTTAGAACTTTCATATATCTATTCTGTCTCATTCTATATGCTGGTTTTGCCATCTGTAAAACTAGGTGGATTACAAGAAATCTAAGGTTCCTTCTGTGTTTAAAATCCTGTGACACCAGTTTGGAGTATATTTAGCTATTTAAAAATAATGACATGTGGGACTGGAGAGATGGCTCAGATGATTAAGAGCACATACTGCTCTCTCCCAGAGGACAAGAGTTTGATTCCTAGTACTCACTTCAGGTGGCTTACAACTACCTGTAACTTCAGCTCCAGTGAATCTGACAACTGTGGCCTTCACAGGCAACTGCACTCACATGCATATATAACCCCCTCTCCCCAAGTTAAAAATAAATTTTCTTTTAAAAAAGTTTTTAAAATTTATGACATTCGAATGGACTGCTTTTTAAATATGTGCCATTTCCTTCACAATGCATTGTAAAGAGTAACACAGTAAAAAAAAAAAATCACCAAATACAAATATTAAAACTAACTTACAAGGCTAATTTGTAAACATTTAACCTATTACCAAATAATTCTTCTATTTCACTAGAGGATGCAAAAACAACTTTAGTCTGTTTAAAGAGAATGTACCTTTTAATGAGTTAACATTCACTATATTATTCTTTTAGTGAAATTAGTAATAGATTTGAAAATAGCATATGAGAAGCCAAAGACAAATGAATAACAGATTATTTTACATATTTTATATAATACCCAAGTTCAGATTTGAGATAATATTCATTCTATTGCACTACCGTGCTTATTAATACATTGAATTACATGACTGATATTATTGACTTTGTTTTAAAAAAATCATTTAGTTCCTCACAGCAACCTTTTTAAGTAGATAATATTTTATAGATTCCATTTTATAGACAAGGAAACAGGCCAAAAAAGCCAATCAATCAAGCTCATCCCGGTAATAAATACTCAAACCCCTATACCAGGAGCTGGAGAGATGGCTTAGCACTTAACAGCTCTTGCTGTCCAATTAAGAGGACTTGAGCTTAAATCCTATTACCATGGAACAAACCTGTAACCCTTGCTCCAAGGGAGATGAAGACTGGAGGCTGGCTGGGGCTTGCTAGCTTCCAGTCTCTAAAAAAAAAAAAAAAAAAAAATGCAAATCTCATGTTTTTCCAAAGGAAAATGTATAGTGATAGCAGATGCCAGATACTTTCACCTGATTTCCACTGTATGATCATGCCCCCCTTAGTGCACATACACTCTATCATACGCGCAAAATAAAAAAAGCTTGTTAATTAATTAATCCACTTTAATTAACATTTCTAATATTTAAAACCTTTACTACTGAAAAAGTTAAATTAACTGGGTTCATGTTCACTATATAGTGATTATTGTATGAAATACCTTCAGTGTCCTATGTTAACTTATTTTTCTCTTACTAAAAGAGGGGAACATATATATAGATGGTGTATATCAAAAGCACTGTATAATTTGAATTACCTAATTTCTAGTAGAATAAGCAATGTCTGAGGCTGGGTTCTTAGCTCTGTGGTAGAGTGCTTGTCTAGTATGCTTGAAACCCTCTGTTCTACCTAGCACTGGAAAAAGAAAAAGACACAGACAGACCAACAGACTGACCCACACCATGAAAGTCTAAACTTAAATACGTTGCGTTGGTGCGTTCACTTCTTGTCACTGCAAACATCCAATTTCCTCATGAAACGGAAACATTTAATAACACTTAAAATTTCAAATGGCTGAAACCGATAGTAAAAGATACAAATTTTGTTCAACCATCTTTCTCTACGAGCAAAATTATTTTTCTGAAGGGATTTCGCCCCACGTGCCGTGGTAAATGGCAAGCTAAAACTGTCTACAAGTAGCGGGTTCAACTTCCATCCTACAAAAAGCTTTTCCTCCACCTACTCTCGTAGCTCTTACATCTCTACCTGCTATCCGAGTTTGGGGTTCACAGGACGGGGGCTACCTCCCCTGCTTCGGCGTGCGCGCGCTCACCCTTCACGCTGGGCCCACCACACCCCTCTGGTCCCGCGCCCAGTGCGGCTGCTCCTCCTCCTGCGGTTCCAGCACCAACTCAGCACCTATCAGCGCCGCCCCCCAGGCCCTGGCCCGGCCCCTCCTCGGACACGTGTGCGGGTGTGTTTGTGTCGGTCTGTCAGTCCCACCGGGGACCGGGCTAGCTTACCGAGAGAGAAGCGCCAACTTCTGCTCCAACAACATCTCCAGTTTCTGGCCCTGTTTGGAGATCCAGTGGTCGACGCCGTGTAGGCGGTAGCACGTCTCCAGCATCAACCTGAAGTCCGCCACAAACTCGGTGATGCCCCTGTACTGGCCGCTGGAGAACTTCTCCTCCATCTTCAACAGACACATGCCCTGGCCGGGCTGCTGCGGGAGGACGCGGCTGCCCCGGCTCCCGCTGCGCCGCCCTTCGGCCACCTCTTCTTCCCCGGCGGCAACGCCCCCCAAGGGCTGCAGGAAAGGGGCGGTGAGGCCGCGGTGCTTCTCCTGCAGGAACTCGCCCAGGATGCGGTAGCCCTGCTGCAGCTCGTAGGTCAGCTCCTGCTCCTTGCAGCCACCGCCCGCGACCACCGTCGTCTCCGCCGCCGCTTCCTCCTCCTCGTCGTTCACCGAGGAGTCACTCCTCCTGCGGACCAGCCCCGAGGCCCGGGCCGCCGCTGCCACCACCTCCTCCTCGTTCACGTCTCCGGTCGGCGGTGGCGGCCGCTCCTCCTCCGTGGCCCGCTCCATCTCCCCCGGTGTCTCCGGCACGCTCATGCCCCCCGGCAGGCCCAGGCTGGGTTGAGAGGAGCGGCCGCTCCAGGCGCCGGGGGACGCGTGAGCGCGGGCCGCTTCCTCAGAGATCCGCGGCGCCGCGCAGCCCCCGCCGCATCGGGCCTTGCTCTCCTCAGTCGCCGGCCGGGACCCGCGCGCGCGGGGGTCTCAGGCTCGCGCCCGCGGGGCGGGGTTACATGGCGCGCGGGGGAGGGGGGGAGAGGAGAGCTAGGTGCCCTCCTCTCCCCTCCCCCCGGCGGCGCGCGGCCCGCGCCGGCTTCACCCTACACACCCCTCCCGCCCGCTCACCGGCCGGGCCGGCGGGGCCTCGGCGCCCCACCCCCTCCCGGGCCGACGGGGCGCTGGGAGGGGGCGAGGAGTAAGAGGGTTCTGCTCCTTCCCGAGTGGGCCGCAGCCCCGGGCCGCCGCGGCGCCGGCTCCTCCTCTCCCTCACACCCCCTCCCGCCCCTGTCTACCTGCGGGGGACCTGGGCAGGAGGAGGCGGCGCACGGACCGGGCCGGGCGACAACTGTCAGTTAGAAGCCCCGCTGGGCGGGAGGGGGTAAGGGGAGGGGCGGAGAGGAAAGGGGGAGGGCACTCAGCCCCCCCGGCCGGGGAGAGCCGTGTAGAGAAGCAAAGAAAGAGGTACCGTCGCCATTCCCGGCGCGCATGCGTAGTAGCACGGGATGGCCCCGCCCCCTTTGGTCCCGCCCTGCTACGCAAAGACCTGGACTTGGATCCCCTACAGGCCCGGAGGCCGAGTGTGTTGCGCGGACTAATGATGTCATCAATATGCGGACTTCTGTAAGGGGTGGGGTGGAGGGAGAAACAGCGCCTGCGCTATTGCACAGTCTGGAAGGCGATCAATAGAGTAAGTTTTCTTTTGGCCAGAGACCCTTACTAGTCCTAAAAGCTTTAATATTAGTTTTCTCAAGGCAGTTACTAAATAACCTTTGCTAACACAAATGAATAACGAGAAGAAACAAGATTAAATCCTCTACCTCTCCTTCCTTGTGACTGGTTTTACTTTTACATAAAAACAGCATTTAGAAAAGTTTAGAAAGAAAGTTTAAGGACTCCCCAAAGAAGAGTGATAGTCTGTAGAACTCTAGTGCCCGAAAGCGAATCCTGTTTTCTATTGAAATTTAAAAACCGAAAAACACCTGTATTCTTGAGTTCGGCTCAGAATGTGAGAGAATGCAATCCCACTAAACTGTCTCCATATGTCTACTCTAAGCTGTACAGCTTGTCATTGGTGTGGTTTTAAAATCTCGCTACGTGTTGTTTAAAATGAGGGGGAAATTAACGAACCCCAAATAAATGTTACTGTTTTCTAATCAGATTTACTTGCTTGAAACTTGGAAACATAAAACCAAAACTATAGAAATGCAATTTAAACATGATATTCATAACTAAATGATTGAGACAGTCTCATCCTCAAAATGGTTTACAGCTCTATAAACAAAAACTTTAACTATTAAAGGACTGAAAAACTGAAATAGCTTAAAACTTTCTTGTGGGGGCTCAGTAAATTAAATACCAGTTGTAGGTAAAATACTGCAACAGGAATACACGTTTTTAAAGTATTTCACACACACACACAGAGAGAGAGAGAGACTTATGCACATGCATGTCTTTACCTGGCATTTATGGTTTTCTCTTAGAGATACCTCAACTAATGAGTAAAAAAAATGTGGAGCCAGTTGTACTTCAGCAACTGGCAAACATGTCTGGTTAGGCTTACCTTCATTTCTTCTAACAAAGCTCACAAATCTAAAGCCAACCAAACTCAAGCAAACGTCACCTTTTAGCCACCAGACTTATTTAAAAACTTTACACAATAGCGTCCACTTTCTGAATCTCGTGCTGCTAAGCACTTGATAGTCATTGTCTTTTTTGACTCTCACAACAACCACATAAGGTACATATTAGGCTATCTTTCAGATGAGGAAACTAACACTTAGGAAAAGTTTGACAAAATTCAAATTCAAGAACTCGTAATTCAAAACTCCAATTGCCCAATTACAAATCATTTGTCAGATTTTCACAAAACTACAGGAAATGAAAAGAGTATATTGACGAAAGATTTCTTAAGAGAAAGAGTTATAGATAAGTAGAAGGAACCTTAACTCTATTTGTGAACGAATCCTAGTTATTATGAAAGAAAAATGAGGTTCTTGGACTTAAAAAAACCTTATTAGTAAGAAAAGTGGTATTGGTAGGTAAACTATAGATAAAAGAAAAAGTTGCCATTTAGTTCCACCACCCAGAGAAAACATAAACTTCAAGGTAGCTACTTTTCTATTTATTTTCAATGCAATTGTAACTACAGTATATATCAAATTCTGAACTATCTACAATCCTAACTATATTCCTGTCTGCAGTAGTCTAGATAGACCTAGTAGGGAGGAAATTCCATGTAAAATAAATTCTAAAGTATAAGAAAGAACACAGCAGAAGAACAATCAACAGTAGTAACACTGACAATTTATTGAGCACTTACTGGTTTGGACATATTTGGTCTGTTACACACACAGTACTCACAATAGACTCAGGAAGTCACAGCAGACATTCTTGTTTGTAAGTTTTGAATGAAGTTCTGTTAAGTAGAATTTTTTTCTATCCTAACAAAAAACCCCTTCAACATTAAAGACATTCCATTTAATGTAATTAACCCTAAATTGATAGCTGTTTTGTAATGCACATACACCGATATATGACTAGTCTTAAAGCTCTTTTCTTTTAAATGTTTAAGGATAACATTTTGTTTCACTGTTTCTGTAGAATCTGTTAGGAACTGCTTCAAAACAGAACTCTATTTAAATAACCCCCATTCTGAATAAAGGTTTTCCTTAATGTTTGAATTAGGGGTAACGGAGATATGACATACAAACACAAAGTAATACTTGGCTAAAACGTAACAATACCTGACTTCCACAAACACTGACTATTTAGTCTTTATTACGCTGTTATAGTCTGTCAAATGCTTTCGGTGTTAAATGTCTTCCTCTACATCCATGAGTGTTTCAGTTCTAGATAATTTTTTAAGACCAGTTTGGTTATGGAGATTTAAAAGTTCTTCTGACTCTCAGCTGGACACATTAGGAACTAGAATTTACACATGTCCTGACCACTTTTCAGGAGTACCATATCAAAAAGTTCACTTATATTATAGAAAACAACTCCTACACCCACTGCAGTACCTTGACACGCTCAGTTCTAGCATCCTTCCCTCACCATAACAGACAGAAGTGTTACCAAGGAAGAACAACTCTGCCACTGTATTCTTCACCCTCAATTCCAGAAGTATTTATTCTGGAAGTCTCCCTTTCTTCATGAGCTTTTTGCATCTTGTGACAGTCACAGACATCTTGGCACCAAGTATACCATCTGCCCAGCATCAATAGTTCAGACAAATAGCGATTTATACATTTCACACTAAATAGGGAAAAGGTGACAAATAACTCCAGGACAACTGGAAGCACAAGTTACAACCACAGTTTAAGAGGTGACACGTGCAAAATAAACAGAAGACCTTAACACTAATCCTGGAGAAACACGGAAGTATGCTTAGCAGAGAGAGGTGGTATCTCTCATTTGTAATGAATCCACTCACAACACGTTGTAGCTACTTTTATGATGGATGGTATTAAATTGCTTCAAGCAAAACTAAGTAACTCTTGTAAAGCTTCCTGCTGTTCATCATCGAGTTGGGATGTGCATTCCAACCATAATTCTTCAGAAGTCTGTATCTGACGGACAACATTAGCTAGGCGCTTGGCACAGGGGTCTTCATGGCTAATAGTTTCATTAATTTTTCCTTCTGCAATTATACTGATGATTTTGGGAAGATTGGAATTATTCGGACCAATCACAACTGGATGGTTACTTTCAATTAGGTCACAGAGAAAATTCAAAGTCTGAATAGCTTCTTCTTTGTCTTCATGCAGCGGAAGCCATGATAGCCAGTGTGGGAGAACTTCATCCACGTTTACACAGTTGGGCTTAAATTTCATAATCTTTCCGATTGCTGAGATACAGTTTTCTGTAGCAATCACATTTTTTTTGGTTTTGGAATTTGCACACTTAATAACTTTTACCAAGAGTGGAACGGCTTCTGAACACAAAGAACGATAATCATCTCCACCAAATTGAGCCATAACTCCCAGTCCATAAGCCGCAGCTTGCCTGACTTCAGGGTTGTTGTCTCGCATATTGAGAAGCATCGGCCACCGAAAATACTCAACATATTTGAATGAGGTTGGACTGCAGTGCTCTATGATGTCATCAAATATGCATAGTCCCCACTGTCTATCTGGCCATGGTCGACTGGAACAAATTAGATTTACAATTAATGGGAGTAGCTGTTCAAACCATGGCAAAATTTTTTCCTTGTAAGTACTAAATAATGAGTGCAAAATATCTGATACTTTGGTCAGAATATAAACATCACATTCATCCTCATCTTGAAGAGACATTTCAACCTGTTGGTCATAATTTTCTTCTTGTCTTTTTACTTGCCGTAACTCCTGGTTTTTAAAGTGCCCTTCAAGTTTTGCCTTTAAAATTCCTCCCAGTTCTTCCAAGTGTTCATCGTTGAGACAACCATCTCCCATTACCTCAATGGACTTGGCAAAAGAATTCATTATTTCTGAGAGTACATCTGTATCAGGTTCGGTTCCAATTGCCTTGATTAAGGGATCACATATAAACTGCCACATCTGTGAAAGATATTCTGAGCCACGAATTCTTGCACATTCCAAGAGAAAGGGCATGGCTTCTGCAGCTGCCACTCGAACATTGTCATGAAAATAAAATTTCAGCAGAGGAACCATCATCTTCACAACTTGTTCTGTGTATTCCACAAATCCTTCTCTTAACTCCTTAGCATAGTAAACCAACATCTGGCAAGCAGTTGCTTTTGCTTCAAGTCCTGAAGTTTTGATTCCAAAGCTTTGCTGGTCTCCAAGGTTTACAAACTGCCAGCCATCATCGTCACTCATATTCTCCACATCCTGCGTGTCTAAGAGAGCGACATCAGGTTTAGCTGAAGCAGTCTTGATAAGAGGCTCAATAACCAGTGGAAGATATTGCTCAAAGTCTTTGCCAAGGATTTTACACATTCTTGCCCAGGCTGAAACCATGTAAGAAGTCTGAGGGTCGTCATCTTCCATGTTATTTAAGTCTGATTGTGTCTTCAACAGTAACTGCATCACATTCGATGCATCTTGCATAAATTTTTCCTTCCCAACAGCAAGTCCAACATGGCTAATACACTCAATAGTTTTTCCTCGAAGAAGCTTGAGTTCCTTTTGAACAGCGAGCTCGACAACGTGTTTGAGTGAGGGCATAAATATATCGTAATATGGAATAAAGCTCTCTTCTATCGAATCTGCAACCGAGGCGATGGTTGTCACAAGTTGTTCTAAGGCCAGCTTAGTTCCATTCCGGATCAGCTCTTGAAGTTTAATTACCAAAATGGAATGAAGACTTTTTACCATATTTTCCAAATATAGAACTAGCAATGATTTGGGGCAGTCTTCAATAAAAATAACAAGAGCAGAAGCTGCACGAGACTGCACACGCTGATTACCTTGGTTTTCCATGGTTCGCAACAAAGCTGTTATCACTAGTTCATGGAAGTTCTTTTGGAAACTAGGTGCAAAATCTGTAGC